GTGTGTGTGTGTGTGTGTGTGTGTGTGTGTGTGTGTGTGTGTGTGTGCGATTCCTTTAAATGTTTAGTATTTAATGTGTGTACTTACCACTCAAAAGTACTACATATGGAAAAAACCTGCAGCCCCATCAAGAGAGAAGACATGAAGATAATTTATCAGAACTGCACTTTGTGTGTGTGTGTGTGTGTGTGTGTGTGTGTGTGTGTGTGTGCACGCCTGCCTTTGCACTCCGGTGTGTTATTTTTACATATTTTCCACTCTATTAGTTCTGTTGATTGCACTGCTATGAAATTGCATGTTACAGTTCTAATGCCATTACATGTGACGCATATTTAAACGCACCTCTTTCCCCCGCTCTCTGTCTCTCTCTCCGCCTCCCTGCCTCCTCTGCCGACCCTCCCCACTGTTTCTTTCCAGAGACTACAAGTCGCTCAATCCTCAGGATATTAAAGAAAACAACAAAAAGGTAAGAGGCAGCCACCACTGGGCCCTTCACACCACTTAGCTCCCTCCCATCCACATCTCCATTCGGCCCTTTTATTTACAGATCTGCCATTAATCCCTGGAGTGTGTGTGTGTGTGTGTGTGTGTGTGTGTGTGTGTGTGTGTGTGTGTCGTGGTTTTTTTTGAGGGTGGAAACACACATGACGGCAGACGGAACGTTATAATGACAGTAGACACCTGGCAGAGGTGAGATGCTAATCTTGTAGCTCTCGCTGCCAGTTGGGAGCTTACTGACCTACCTCTGCTGTGTGTGTGTGTGTAGATGCAATGTGTATATAATAATAGCATATTTATCTTGTGTTGATTAGTTGTGTTTGTGTGTGTGTAAACTGTAATCCATGTCCTCTCCCAACTAACATAAATGCGCTCACTCCTAACGCTCAAGTGAATCACACATTCACACATTCGCCCTATGTCATCATATCTGCACACATGACCCCCCCCCCCCCCCCCCCCTCCTCGGTCCCTCTGGCTCTTCACAAACACATTTACTTTTTCCCGAAACGCACAAATGCACACCTTTACTACACACTCACACACACAGACGCCCTGTCCCCTCTTTGGCCCCCGAGGCCCTACACAGAACGATATGCGTCGGGTCCCCGCAGCTTGATTTCCTCTCCTCACACACACTCTGGCTCTGCGATAACCTCTGGTGGCCCTGTTAGGCATGAATGCTACCCTGTTGACAATAACCACAGTGGAGGGAGAGCGAGAGACCCAATCCTATATCTGCTAACTGCCCCTCACCCTCCAGGTGCTCAAGTAGCCCTGAAGAAATTGGCCAGATATAAGTAATATGGGAATATGCCGTATAGAAGGCGATAGCTGGTGAATAGCTGCAGCGACTCCGTAAAGATCTACACCAGCTGCTGGTGTACGTTTGGCCGAGCAGGCTGGGAGACGTACCGGAGGTAGATATCAGCTTCCTCCGGTGCTCATGTAGCAGCGTTGGGAGTATGCCAAACAAAGTCAGAGCTCGTAAATGTGGTGTCCCTGTTAAACGTGCACAAGTTTAATTGTGCAGATTTCTTTCTTTTCCTTTATCCAACGATTTGGAAAATGTCTCTAAAAGTTTTATTTCATCAATGCGTCTTTTTACTTAATTTACACACTCTTAAATATGTTTATTGCATTCCAAAAACAAACCATAACCATCACCTTAAAGAGAAGAAACATTTGACTTGAATGTTTAATGAATAAAGCGTATCGGCCAATCAGGGTTCCCCTTTTTCGACTGTTTTTCCTTAATTTGCTCACAGTCAGAGTGTGTATCGTAGTCAGCAGGTTCGTGAAGTCAGCAACCAGTGAGGTGGCTGATTCTTTGGGCTTGAGGAGCGTTGCGTTCTCCCAGGTTGTGACGGCGACACTTTTCTGTCATTTCTACAGTGACAAAAGAAATAAAATAAATCTGCATGTAAACTGATTGTCTCTGCATGTGAGCTGCGATGTCTGTTGGGCTTTGACACTGCGGATGTTGTTGGTGCGTTTCCAGAACATGCCACATGCAGTAATTGTGCACGAATTACACCCTGTGTTGTAGGTGGCTGTGATTTGTCAACGCAAATGAAAGAGGAGTAAAAGTGGCGTCACGCTGCACCCTGGAGGTGTAGGAACAAGAGAAGAAAAGGGTGCTCGTAAAAGAGAAACCACTCATAGTGTGGCAGGTTGATGATCCCACAGAGCGAGAGAAAGACATCCATGTGTGAACGAGGGCCGATGAAAAGAGACTTCTTTCACAGTCAAGATGCTGCGTAGAGATGCTTCATGAGGAGTTATTAGAATGTATAGAATTTATTGAATCGGATAGAAATGGAAATGACAACTATCTCTTGCTCTTCATGGCCAATTGACAGACGTGCCCCCCCCCTCCTCCTCCTTTCACAGTCTATCTGTGAGGAGTGATTGCAATGAGCCCAGACTGTGCTGAATTATGACAGATAAGGACAATCAATATGGGGGGGGGGGGGGGGGGGG